GTGTGCCTCAGGGGCGGCGCTGTCGAGTCGCTGTCGACTCTGGACTGAGGTACACTCCCCTTCTCCGAAACATTGCGGATGGATCCCATCAATAACTTCCTATTGTTTGCAGTCCTGCGAACTGTACGTCTTTGTTCCTTTAGTCTGTATGGTCTACTTAACACTGAATTTTAAGTTCAGCTGCAAACCTAATCTACTGTATCCAGCTGAGGTTTGAAAATCTACAGCACGCCTGGCTGAACGTCACTCCCTATTGCTTTTGGCCAGTCAACCGTTCTTCACCCCCAAGATCTTTTAATCATCAGAATTGGACAAAAGGGCAGGAAATCGGCATGCCGAGTTGTGTCACCTTTTATTTTGTGAGGGCTATCTTGGGACGAGCAGTCTAGTCATACTTCATAGGAGACAGATATGAAATTTTAGCCCTGCCTCTGGACTGACAATGGGGCTACAGACCCGAGCTAAGGGGCACGAGAATAAACACAGGAGGGAAACCAGAGCAGCAGGAAAGCAACACAGCGGCACCCCACAAAATGGAAGGAATGGAGGAACGAGCGGACAGTTTCAGAAAGGAGAAAGACGGAGAGACAGAATGAAGGGAGGGGAGAGAGGAAGAGGAGGGACAGAGTGGAGAGGGACGCTGCGGAGGGCGAGACAGAGCAGGAACACCAACCTTTCTTCATGGCGCGAGGAGGGTCGGAGAGGGCGCCTAGCCGCCGCCACAGAGTAAAGAAACAAAATCAGAAGGGAAAACAGGAAAAAAGAAAGAAAACTCAGGTGAGCAGAGGAAAAAGGAGGAGAAATTAAACTGAGAGCTTGGTGACAGGTTCCTCCAGAGTCTGCGCAGGGCTGCCTGCTCATAGGCTAACTACAGGACAAATACAGAATAATAACAAATTGTAGAATAAAACCAACCCACTAGACCTTCTTTCCAAAACTCCTAAAACCCTTTTTTCTTTAGAGAACAATACCATTACTTGTGTCTCCGTTTCTCTGTATAGTCCAAAAGTCGAGCAGTTAAGGTAAAGAGCTTTGTTACCGAAAGCTTCAGTCCCAGCACGGTGACTTCAGACCGCTTGCCATCTTGAGCACTGATTTTATTACCTTATTTTAATCAAAGCTTTTCTTATTAAGTTGTAGGACTTCTGTGCGTATCACTGTTCCTGTAGATAGTTTGTCATTTTCCTATTCAGTGATTTCCTCACAGCATCAAGTCTTGAAGGAGCCCATCACCTCACACTTTGCAGTGTGACCTGGTTATCTGCTCCATGCGTCCTGGCTGTAAACAACTTTACTGAAATAGCTCAGGTCAGTCTTATTTATTACCCCTTCAGATTTTGAAAGCTTTAATTAAATCTGCCATTGTTGTTCACAGAGACTGAAAGGATTTAGTGCCTCCAATCTGTCCTTTAATTTGTTCTCCCTGCAGACCCTTAAGCCTGGGAAGGAGTCTTGTTGCTTTTTGCTTTGAAATCCTCTATGGCCTCCATTTTGTCAAGTGGAGGCTGGTACCTCATGCAGCATCCTGTGAGGTCAAACCACCGGAGCCTGAACAGCTGCATTTCTGCAGTCTGCTATTTATCCAAGCAAGTTTCTTGTGTCGATAACCATTCCTGAGGTCCTGCTGGTCAATTTATGTGTTCAACAAGGCTAAGCTTGCAGAGCTTGTAAAACGTTTACATTAATCTTCACCTTTTCTTTGCAAGTTGACTGCTATTTTGTTTATCTGCCAGCAGGGGGTGTGAGTGATTCTGTTTTTTGCCAGAGCTCAGGAGAGATCAAGATAAAGACAACAGAAGGAGCCATCTTGGGTTGGGAGTATAGCAGCATACACTTTTGTTTATTTATAGGCACACTGATAGCTTCGTCGTACAAAAATGTGTGAACAGGATTATTTTCGTTCGTTTGAAAAGTTCATACTTTGATTACAAGCTGCACTATAGTTAACATAGAGAAACAGATGAAGCTGCAATGTTTTATTTAGCCTTACATGAAGTATGATTTAGGGAAAATGGT